TGAAAATAAATTTCTACACAAACAATATGCTTTGAATTCTGCCTAAAATACTTTTTTTTACAGTTTTAAATTTTAATTGGTCGATTTGAATTGTAATTTCCTTTTCTTTCTTGTAAACTGCTTTTACTATTTTTAAGAGAGAAAACCACTACTGAGCCTACATGATACCATGGGAAAAGTGCATAAAATAGTATCATCTGTGCTTAATAATTATTTGCCTCACTAAACATTTGTTATATTAGATTATACATCTTTAAAACTCTGCTAAACCCCATTGTAATATCAGCTTTCCTAAACTTGAAAAAAAATTATAATGTTGTACTATACTTAGATGTTCATGAATCAGTTCCGACTCCCTGATAATGACTGACTGACTATTTTAGGATCCTTGTCCTTTCAAATATTTTTGCTAGTGGTGATGCTGGAAAACCCCTTTTGTTACCAACTGACAAGTATTTAAGCCTTCACAGTTTTGACTAGTACAAGGGATTGTCCCTTTTGGATTTCCAAGCTAAAGTCTTATTCCAAATCAGTATCTCTAATCTATTTATATCAAGTTTGCAAACGTGTCGTTTCTTGGGTGTGTACATCTTTTAATGCACTGAGGGCAACCCACTTAACATATGTTCAAAGGAAAGGAATACCAACAAGTTTGATGTGACCACATCCGTGAAGTCTTAGAATTAGCTTTATTGTTTTCACAGGAAATGAAATATTTTGCTAAAATTCAGGTGTCAGGCATTAGTTTTGTTTTTTTTTTAACCCTAGAATCATACGGCAGTGTTTGCAAAAGTTTATCTGTATCAGTATTCTTTGTGCTAGTTGTAACTTTTGTGAAAAATCGCTTATATGTGCTTAATATAATGAAAATTTCTAAATTTCAGATGTCTTATTGAGATTAATTTCACAAACAGTTCTCCTCTTTTAAATTTGTCCATTTTTACCATTAATAATATTATATTGTTTGGTAGTGTTGTTCTCTGTCTTCATTATTTAATTTGTCAGATATTTGTATAGGTTTTCTGAATATAAAGTCAATTCTGTCTAAATTTAATATTCAGATTTTTTGAGAAAAAAATGAAAAAGTATACTATTTTTCAGAGAACAAGTGGACAAATCTGTTGTGTATAAAACCTGCTAAAATAATGACTTCCAATCACTTAGCTTTTAGTTAAATCACTCTCTAAACTGTTACTTATTTAGAGGGGAAAAAGTGGAAAAAGAACAGTTATATATTATATAGGCTGACTTCATCTGTGCTAGCTTGTACATACAAATTCAATAATTTCTCTTTCAGTAAAGTAATGGGAAGAAGGTGTATTTTGTGCTCAGCAGTATTATTGTGATGAAGTTTAAACAATACAAGCTTCTAAGAGCACTTAGACACATAAGATTTCATTTTAAACATACCGTAGAACTATCTGAGACTGCCTCTTGCTGTTTTATTTTATTCTTGGTAGCCTAAGGATCAAGTAATTCTAGACTTTCTCAGCTAGGCTAATAGTTTCTTTGGCAATGTAATTCTCCCCAAAACTTGCTAGGTTTCTGGACCTTTTCTTTTTAGTTGCTTCCAGGTAAATTCACACAGTGATTTCTCCTGAATACATTTCTTATGTTTTCTGATTCTCTTTTAATTATTTTTGGCCATTTCTCCTGTTATCTAATGGTTACTACCCTGAAGTCATTTAAGTTTATAAAGTTAGATGGGAATGCAGCCTCCTACATAATGCTTAGATGCCTCCAGTTGACGATCTTGGCTCTTGCTAGTTGGGGTCCAGGAACATTTGTGATGTCTCAATTACTAGACTCTTACATAGTTTAGATTACAGGTCATTTTCAGAGACATATTTCCTTCCATCTCAGCTTGTAACTAGGCTATTTCATGGGTGACTTCATTTCTTTTAATGCCAGGGTAAGAGGAGCAACCAACATAACCAGCACACACACACTTTTTAACAACTTCTCCAAGAGAACATACTAGATACAGGGCATGCACCACAAATTATTGCAGACAAGAGTTTTATCTGTTACTTTCTTGTGTTATATCAAAGGTCACCAGTTTTCCAGCTACATAGCTTTCTCTCATTTTTCATCATCTGACTTCTTCACACATGTCACATATATTTTTCTGTTTCTGTGCCACTTACTTTCTATTATTAATTTCTTTATTAGGAGTAGGATAGGCTAAATGATCATAAAAAAGAAGAAGAATTGAATATACAGTGGTCTGAACAAATTGAACCTAAGTATGAGAGAATCTTAGAAATATTTTATCTGAGCATCAAAAGAGTCAGTAAATCTAAGAAGGTTGAATCTGTCATGCTTACTGGGCTTTTAAGCTTGAAAACAAAACCTTTCATATATAATTAGTGTGCTGTAGTTTTTATTCTTCTTCACATAATATGTACTTGTGGTTTGAATTATTTTATATAAGTTAAATATTAATTTTATCCCTTCAAATGGAGCTGAGTATATACATTTCAAAACAATTTCATT